CGATGCGCAGATTGCGTGGCAGGCGCAGTACTTTGTGAACCTCCATGCGCAGATTTCGTGGCAGGCACAGCACTTTGTGAACCTCCATGGTTCTCCAAACCTCGACGGGGAAGTTCCGCGGAACGACGGTTGCGAGACGGTCTCGGGTCATGGTCGGATCATGCTCGGAATCGTCCGATTAGATGTTTCAGTTGTTTCTTGAAGTGCAGATTTCGTGGCACAGCACTTTGTGAACCTCCATGTGGCAGGCACAGCACTTTGTGAACCTCCATGCGCAGATTTCGTCGCAGGCGCAGCAGTTTGTGAACCTCCATGCGCAGATTTCGTGGCAGGCGCAGCGCTGTGTGAACCTCCATGTGCAGATTTCGTGGCAGGCACAGCACTGTGTGAACCTCCATGTGCAGATTTCGTGGCAGGCGCAGCACTTTGTGAACCTCCATGTGCAGATTTCGTGGCAGCCACAGCACTTTGTGAACCTCCATGCGCAGAGTTCGTGGCAGGCACAGCACTCTGGGAACCTCCATGTGCAGATTGCGTGGCAGGCACAGCACTTTGTGAACCTCCATGCGCCGATTACGTGGCAGGCACAGCACTTTGTGAACCTCCATGTGCAGATTTCCTGGCAGGCGCAGCACTTTGTGAACCTCCATGCGCAGATTTCGTGGCAGGCACAAGCTTGAGGTGCAGATGTCGTGGCAGGCACAGCACTGTGTGAACCTCCATGCGCAGGTTTCGTGGCAGGCACAGCACTGTGTGAACCTCGAGGTGCAGATTTCGTGGCAGGCACAGCGCTTTGTGAACCTCCATGTGCAGATTTCGTGGCAGGCACAGCACTGTGTTGCGCAGATTTCGTGGCAGGTGCAGCACTTTGTGAAGCTCCATGTGCAGAGTTCGTGGCCAGATTTCGTGGCAGGCTCAGCATCTGTGGGGCTGGAAGCTGAGAACTGGCGACTTTGTACAACTTTAGTAGTACGCGGAGCAATCTGGCGAGCTGGAAGCTGAGAACTGGCGACTTTGTAGGACAACTTTAGTGCGCGGAGTATCTGGCGAGCTGGAAGATGAGAACTGGCAACTTTCTAGTACAACTTTAGTACGTGGAGCAATCTGTGGAGCTGGAAGCTGAGAACTGGCGACTTGGTATAGGTTGCAACGACTACGAAATGTTGGAACCAGAAGGGCCCTCCATCATGACAGCAGCTCTAATATATAGCGCCTGCTTGAGCCCAACTTCAGTACATCATCACCAAACCTATTCAATCTCAAGAATGTTCAGGAGTTCATCCTCACACATATTGCACATTTAAAGCAAACTCCTCTCACCAACCGCCCATCACCAGTCGCGCCTGAGCAAAAAGAAGCGCGCCCAGCACCGCCGCGCTCCCGCACCGCCCGAGCCAATTCACGATAAACAAAGTAGATCGAAGGCCATGACTGTGCATCCTATAGACCATGAATAGTCCAATGAAGACATGTGTTGACACCAGCGATGATCATGCATTCCGCGGCCCACGCCCCAGCCCCGCGAGCCGTTATATATATATATGAGAAAACAAGTAACGCCATGAGATTACTGTTGCACATACATTGTTTTTTACAGAAAAAGAGTAGATACAAGAGTTAATTAGTTTTAACTCTGGAGTTAATTCTTCAGCATTTGCTACTCATCAAGGGTTCCATCAGAAGCATTGACTTGGGAGTTAATTCCTCCTTGAATGCTGCCATGTAA